ATAAGACAGTGTTGCATAGTAAAACAACCTAGGATAAGACAGTAGTGTATTAAAAAACTAAATCTAAGATAAGACAGTAGTGTATTGTAAAACTAAATCTAAGATAAGACAGTGTTGCATAGTAAAACTAAATCTAAGATAAGACAGTAGTGTATTGAAAAACTAAACCTATGATAAGACAGTGTTACATAATAAAACTAAACCTAGGATAAGGCAGTAGTATAATTGAAACATTTGGACTTAAGACAATGTCTTGTAGGAAAAGTACATTTCGGATAAAACAGTTTGTTACGTGGATTAAAGTTATAATCAGTTATTTTTTATCCACATTTTGATGTTAGTTATAATTCATAATTGCATGGATTAATCAACTATAATAGTTCTCATATGTTATGTATTTTTGGTCTTATCTCTAGATATAGGATATAATATCTTGTTTTTTTTTGTATTTTTATCTCTATCAGAACTTTTGGTGGATTTGCCAAGGATGCTGACTGGAAAAAAGAATTTGAATACTTGAAGTCTAAATTGGAAAATCCTGAAGAGGCAGATTTATCGAGTTTTTGTCGGGCTGGGTTTGATCCACCATTTAAACCTTTTGGAAGAAGAAATGAAGTTTGGGTGTTTAAAACCCAAACTGTAGTACCTGATGTGGCCGAGTAAAAACAGTGGTGAAGAGAAAGGTGGTGGTTTGCACATCCTGGAACTCGTTGATTAAATGTCACTAAATTCTTAATTTTAAATCTTGTAGGATAGTGTTAACAAAACTGTCTTTACTTGCTGGCTGTTAAACAGGTGGAATGTTCTGAATTTCACTCTATTTTTTGAAGAATAAATTGTTTTTTTGTTAGTTGGACAACAGAAACAAGAACTTAACACTGTTATATGTGATTAGTAATTAAATATAATCTGATATTAAGTTGTTTTTTAATTATTTCTTAATTAAAGTGATAAAAAGAAATTATGTACTGATGTAAAAAATAAAATTTTATGACTTGTAAAAGGAACAGAAGATAGATGGATATTAATGTAAGGTTAATATGTATACTTTCATCACAAAATTAACAATGACAGTGTACAGAATACCTAGTTAAATCATTTCCGGATGGATATACAGAATCTAGCATGGATCATTGTTATCTTGTATATTGTTGTGATTCTTTATGGAATTGTAGTTATGAATATGCAGAAGTTTTAACTTGAAGATGTGAACAAATTTTAGATTTACTTTTGGTTCCTTAATTTCAAATATACAGGTTTCAGATACATTTTAATGTCAGTCTGTCGTGTAAATTGATATGCTCTCTCCAAAGAACTTAAAAATACTCTGAGCCTTTAAGAAGTTTGTTTTTCTAGCATTTCTAACTGGAACAAAATTTTTCTGATTCTTAACTCATGTAAAGCTCAAAAACTAGTATTGTTTTAAACCATTTAAAGTATGGCTGTGTGTGTGTTTAAAATTAGATATTAACTTGTCAGTGTGATTTTCTGGAAAAAATTAGATTGTATAATGATAGTATTGGTCATAAAGTGTAAATATTTCTGTCATGTTAGTGTTGTAACAATCTTTCGTTGGATGTTTCTTTTTAAAATTACTTGGTGAAAATAATTTTAAATTCAATCCACGTAACCCTAAAAATTTTGTTTTCTTTAACATATATACATTTCACTTGTACTGTAGTAAGATGTAGGCCTAAGTTTACAAATGATGCACTTAACATATATACATTTCACTTGTACACTGTAGTAAGATGTAGGCCTGAGTTTACAAATGATGCACTTAACATATATACATTTCACTTGTACTGTAGTAAGATGTAGGCCTAAGTTTACAAATGATGCCTTTAATATATATACATTCCACTTGTACACTGTAGTAAGATGTAGGCCTAAGTTTACAAATGATGCACTAACATATATACATTCCACTTGTACACTGTAGTAAGATGTAGGCCTAAGTTTACAAATGATGCCTTTAATATATATAAATTTCACTTGTACACTGTAGTAAGATATAGGCCTAAGTTTACAAATGATGCTCAAACAAATATCTCACTAATGGTTCTACAATGAATTTAAAAATAAACTTGCTTGTACTCAGTAATCGAATCATCTAATAAATACTTTGAAACTAAATCTTTATTAAATGATAAGCAAAACACTGACTCAGTGCTTCACTACTTTTTATGTATTTATAACCTATTCTTGTTTCTCAATACTGCTCAAATTTACAAAATTCTTGACATCAGTATCTAGAACTCTCTAGGTATTCTAAGCCTACGTTTACAAACTTATTTGATCTTCATGTTATACACCCTCTATCTAATATCCCAATTAAAGCATTGAAAATATAGCTTACAACAATACTATTGGCTGTAGAGTGTAAATATTTCATTCTTAATGACATAGACTGAGATTTGTATATTTTTTATGATGTAAAGTGTTAAAGAAATTGATAATTAACTGGACACGTACACCTCTGTGAAGATAAGTCTGTGTATTGATTGTTAATTAGAAACAAATTTTAAGGTAAAACAATGTACATTAGATGTCTTTAATTGTAAGACCAGGTGTTTTATTTTAATGTGGGCATGATTTTTTGTCATTAGTGAATACAAGATTTATTAAGGTACTTGTATTGAGACTGATAATGTGTTTTATGTGTGTGTGTGTTATGTTTGCTAAGAAGGTTATGATGAAAACGTCAACTTTGTACTGGCCAGGGAAATTGTTCGTAGACGTGAGTACTGTACAAGTGTGTGTGTTATGTGAAGGATTGTATTCCACTGTTACACAACAATAGGTGCAGCATTACAGAGAAAATATTCAACATTACACAAAGTTACGTAACAAGAAGTGTAACTTTATTATACAAAGTTATGTAACAACTGATGTAGAAATTATACAAAGTTATGTAGCAACAGATGTAGAAATTATACAAAGTTATGTAGCAACAGATGTAGAATTATACAAAGTTATGTAAGAACAGATGTAGAATTACACAGAGTTATATAACAAAGTGGTGTGAGTCTCTAATTAGAGTTGCACATTGAAGTTAACATCTATAGGTATACACACTACCTTTTGTTGCTGATTTGGTAAATATAAATCTTAATTAAATATATATATATATATATATATATATATATATATAGTCAGATTCTTTTTTTTTAGTTAGAAAAAGGTGAAAAAAACAACAAACACTGAAAACATTGTATCAGGAATTACAACAACAGTTAATTCTCTCATGGTGCATGATTGTTATAGTTGTTAAATATATTGTTGAATTTTCAAAATGAATTAAAAGAAAACAAAGTCAAGACAGCTAAGAATAGTTGCTGATATTATTTTTTTTTCTCATCTTGTAAACATCTGCAGTACCAGGTTTCTTTCATGACATACTATGACATAGTTAAGTTGGGTACGGACCAGTTCTTGGTTCCTTCTGCTGTGTTCTTCCAAGCCTTTTGTTTCTATTTCCTATAAATATAGTTATTAAAGTAGAACAGTATACAGTACTTGCTCTCTACAGTAAACATAGCTTAAATAAAGTCACGTCGAGTGCTGAATTTCTCTTTTGTCTCTTACAGGATTCTCTTAACACTTCAATTTGTAACCTGAACTGTGTATCTCTCAGTGTTTAAAACTAACATATTGTAAGTGAAAAAATTTCATTGCTATCAACAATCAGTAATTACTTTTGGATTTAGTACAACATTTGTGAAATAGTTAATCTTTCGGTGTTATTATACTCTAGGTATTGTGTCCTTCAGCTGTCTAGCTAGGTCAGCTAACAGCATCAGTTTTTGATTGTTAGTGTAAGTGCTGGGTTTTGTTTCCATGTGCTTTAGTATAAAATTTAGATCACGACTTGAAAGCAACACAGTAACAAGTATAGCTAGTTTAATATACCAGTCTTCCTTATAAAGATTAGAATGCATTGTTCCATCAATTGATTATTTTTGCTGTTAGTGATATTTTTGGCCAGCTAATAATACAAATTAATCTTTATAATAGAATTAAAATAAGAAAGACATTCCATCCTAAAGGTTTTTACAATTTGTTTTGAGTATGAAACATAAGTATGCCATAACAATACTTTTAGCTGTTTCTTTAAAGTAGGTATTTATATCTTCTGTTGAAAGCTGAGAATGTAAATTTTTTATGCCTAAGAAGTGTTATTTTAGAAGTTTTCTTATAAAATTTGGAGGTATAACCATGGTTGTTGATAAAACAATGATTACTTTTTTTTAACGGAAGTTGGATCCTGGATAAAAAAAAAGTTTTCCTGATTTTTGATTATAATATTTATATATGTTATCAAAATTTGATATTTTGTGATTTTTGCAATAAAATTTTTGAAATAACCATTACTGTTGTGTTAAAAGATCTTTTATTTATTTTACATAGAAATTTGATACGTAGGTTATGTTAGTTACAGTTCACACCACTCAGTACGAGTTTGTTTATTACCACTTCATTAACAAAACTGCTTGCACCGAGTGGTGTGAGCTGTAACTAACAGAAGTGACATTAAACAAACTCGTACTGAGTGGTGTGAACTGTAATTAACAGAAGTGATATTAAACAAACTTGTACTAAGTGGTGTGAACCGTGATTAACATAAGTGACATTAAACAAACTCGTACTGAGTGGTGTGAACAATGACTAGCGTAAGTGGTAATAAACAAACTCGTACTGAGTGGTGTGAACCGTGATTAACATAAGTGACATTAAACAAACTCGTACTGAGTGGTGTGAACTATGACTAGCGTTCACTTCACAGTTTGTGTCACTCAGTATGATTAGGTTCTTTAAATGTCACTTCCGTTTTGAATTACCTTGTAATTATGGGATCACTAATTACAAATGTGTAAACCCCAAAAACTATAAACATCTGTTACTAAAACTTTATGTTGTGACATGAATGAACTTATGAACATTTGTAAACCTGTGACTATGTGGCACAATTTCGTTGTATAGCTGAAGCTACAGTGTTCAAGAATTTTTTATTTGGAAAATTATCTAGAATTATCCATGCCTGACATAGAGCACGTTAAACGTAACTCGTCCTCTAGTGGCACAGCGTTAAGTCTGAAAACTTATATAAAGTTAAAAACCGGGTTTTGATATTTGTGGTGGCCCAGCACAGATAGCTAATTGTGTAGTTTGTTCTTATCAACACACAAATTTGTGTGTAAAATGGTTCTTGTTTCTACTTAAATATATAAAAACGTGATTTATCGAGCCCTTGGTTTTCTGCATCTTTTACCTTCAAATATAGGTAAATAACACAAGCTTCAACATGCACGTCACTAGGTTATTAAAACGTGCTGAAAAACCTACGAAATATCTATTCCTTTTTAGTTTATACTGATAAATAAAAACTGGTTTAGGAATGTATACTGTAGTTTTATTCAATATACATAATTCGTTGACTTGATAAGTTACATTGTAAGTTTTGAATAATCATTCAACTTTGAAAACGTAACTCTCTAATATCAGTTTCTGAAATAATTCCCCGGTGCCAATTCACATGACATCAGAAATGTATACAAATTAAAGTTAACTCGTGAATGTTAGTATTGTATCACTTACTAGTAATAAAAATTGAACGTTTGTTTATTATGGTAAATAATTTTGTTGTTCCTAGCCTATCGTTTATGATGTTGATGTCAAAACACTTGAAATATGATCCAAACTTGGTGATTAATGATTCGAACTGCACTCTTTCAATGAAACAATCTTCGTAACGAATTATTGATATTACATTGATTCAATGAAACACTAAACTTGATAAATAATGATTGGTGCTACATTTCCAATTAAAACTGGTGAAATTTTGAAGTGGACGCTAATTCAAAATACCGTATGACGATGAACCTCTATAAAAATCTAAGGATCATATCATTGGTGGTAGATATGAAAAGCTTGACCAGCATGGGAAGTGGAATTATCGATATAAAGGACATTCATGAACATAATAGGATTATCTTTCTGTAGCCCTGGCGTCATACAGATTTGTGGGTACTATATATCATTTTCACGTAGTTTGTATGTTTTCCACTATATTCAGATAAGATGGAAATATCCTTTGCTTTTTTTTTTTTGTAAACTGCTCTGATTGGGCAGTCTTGCCAGTTATGATAATGGAAGTAGATGAAAAAGTTTTGGAGTATATTTATTTTTCTTCTTTTAAAGTCCAAGTAGTGCAAAACTAAAATATAAACAAAATTACTCTAAACGTTCTGGAAATACCCAATCCAAAATAATAAAAATATTAAAAATTTCCAGAGACCAATTACACAAAGACAAAAATAAATATAGACTTCTCTTAAACGTTATATTATAACGATTCTGTAGCCTCGATGCTTGATCTCAAGACAGTGAATCTTGACAGTAGCCCTACAGCATGGTTACCATTAGAGAAGGCTACCATATTCAAATCACACACCTCTTCCAGCAGCTTTCTATAATCCATCTAATGGTGGCAGCTTCCCAGCACCCGTTCCAACAGTCCGATGACAGAGAAATCCATAGGCACTATATCCAGTGGTTTCACCAATTCGTCTTTGTAAGGAGTAGCATGAATATCCATTTCACTGGAGTTAGGAACACGTGGACAGCTTTTGCCACTGATTCTTGTGTTCGTACATTCTCACATGTTACAAAATGCCATACTTTGTTTACCACGGTCAATGTACGACTTGTTAAAGGTCTGATTTTGGACGGTCCTGGGACCCAATTTGACCCTATTCCTTTGTTTTCCAATGCCGTTAAGTGCAACTGATATTCCATCTGTGAAACTAAAAATCTTTGATCTAAATAAATCTTTATGATCTGAGTGTATGGATATATTATGTCCAAAAGGACTTTTACACACCCTTACAAAAAGTGATCAATTTTCAGTAACATCACACTACCTTGTTGTTGTTCGTCCTTCGAAGTTCAAAGAAGACCACGACATCATTTGGTCTATCTGTGGATACGGAG